CAAGTCTGGCCTATCCCATCACTTTTTTTACATTATGCTTTTCTTATTTCTTCTTCTTTTTTTTTTAATGTTTTGCAGTTTTTGGCCGGGGCCGGGTTTGAACCTGCCACCTCTGGTACATGGGAGCGGTGTCCTACTCCTTTGAGCCACAGGCGCTGCCCTTCCTATTTCTTCTTAAGTACCCCCAAAACTTTTGCATGTTTGTATTTTGAAGCAAATTCCAGACATATCTTTACCCACAAAATACAGTTATTTCCTTAATTCTTTCATACCATTTAATACCCATTCCATATTTAGATTTCCTAAATTTTATTGAAAGTTACTTTATAAAGATGGGTTTTTTTCCTTTTTAGAAATAGGGTCTTGCTCTGTCACCCAGACTAGAGTGCAATGGTGTGATCATAGCTCACTGCAACCTCAAACTCTGGGCTGAAGTGATCCTCCCACTTCAGCCTCCTGAGTAGTTAAGATTATAAGTGTGTTTCTAATTTTTAGAAAATTTTTTTGTAGAGATGGAATTTCACTATCACTGCACTTTTTTTTTGAGACAGAATCTCACTTTGTCTTATCCTGGTAGAGTACCTTGGTGTCATAGCTCACAGGAACCTGAGACTCTTAGAATCTTAGGCTCAAGCAGTTCTCTTGCCTAAGTCTCCCAAGTAACTGGGACTACAGGCACCAGCCACAATGCCCAGCTATTTTTAGAGACAAGGTCTCACTCTAGCTCAGGGTGGTCTTGAACTCATGAGCTCAAGCGATCCGCCTGCCTCAGCCTCCCAGAGTTGTCAATGCACTTTTGCATAAAGTGAGTCATTTGTCTCACATTCTGGGTTTTGCCTATTACATCTTTGTGATATCCTTCACTTGTTTCTCTGTTCCTCATATTTACTATACTCTGGCAGTTAGTGTTTGAGACTTATTTAAGTTCACAGTCAGGCTTTTGTCTATTTTTTTTTTTTTTTTTTTGAGACAAGAGTTTTACTTTGTCGCCCTTGGTAGAGTGCTATGGCTTCACAGCTCACAGTAACTTCCAGCTCTTGGGCTTAGGTGATTCTCTTGAGGGGGAGATAGGTGAGCCTTGACTGTGGGAAGCAGAGGAAGGAAGGAGAGAGCCAGGGGGCAGAGCTTCCTCTGATCAGTAGGGGATCCTGCAGAATTGAGTGTGGAAAAAGTCCAAGACACTTTCTCTGAATGCAAGAAACAGTGCGGAAAAGCCACGAGAAGCTGAGGCAGAACATTGCACCCAAAAAGAACATCCTCAAAACCACCTTCTCCTACAGAGGGGCCGGGAAGTATATATTGGGTCTGAGCATGGTCTAGATTTCCTGAAAGGAAAACAGCAAGCAGATGGGTCCAGATGGATGTGGACGAGGAAGGTGCTCTTGAAAGAAGCCTGAAGGAGTGTGTCCTGTGGCAATGGATGGGTTAGTTATTGTCCTTCAGCCACTCAGGCAGCACATCATAGACATGACCTCCCAACGTCCCTCCCAGACCTTGTATACAAACTCCTCCCTCTCTGTAACGGACAAGAGGCTTGCAGGGGAAGCATCAGCACCTCCCTGCTCCTCTTCCTCCTGAGGCCTGGCACGTCTGCTCATCTTCAGCTTTGGTGGAGTTAGAGATTACCCATTTGTCCTTCTTTTCTAATAGGGATTCCAATGTAGCCAGTTCTGTATTTTGGTTTCCCTGTTACTGGCAGGAGCCCCATTGCCCTGTGGCACTGCAGATCCTTGTGGGAAGACATCTGGCTGGCACCTGAATACCTTGTGGCTTCAGCCTAGGAAAAGGTTGGGATCCTTCAGCTGCAGTGTTAGAGATCTCGCTATGATGGGAGACAAGCTGGGTGGGCAGGCTCTGGTGGGGACTTCTGGTCCCCTGTGCACCGGGGTAGCCTGTGTTCAAGCTGCCCATATCTTCATCGTCTCCAAGGGGTGCATGACCACACCCTCACTGTCTCTTCGTGCTGGTTGCTAGATGAGATCCATCATTTCATTAGGGCAGTATAATGGTCAGCTGCTACTTCTAACATTCCTTCCCCACACTTGCTTTTAACAGTTTCTAATTCTGTTTCAGATGGTAGTAACCTATGTATCTGTATATAATATACTTTGTTATTTATTGGTTTATCAATGTTAAATACCATTATACTCTTTAAAAAGAGAAACATTTTAAATAGGCTGAGCTGGTGGCGCCTGTAGCTCAGTGGGTAGGGAGCCAGCCACATACACCGAGGCTGCCGGGTTCAAACCTGGCCCAGGCCAGCTAAAAACAGCAATGACAACTGCAACAACAACAAAAATAAATAAATAGCCAGTGTTGTGGCGGGTGCCTGTGGTCCCGGCTGCTTGGGAGGCTGAGGCAAGAGAATTGTTTGAGCCAAGAGTTTGAGGTTGCTGTGAGCTGTGGCACCATGGGAATTCTACCCAGGGCGACAGCTTGAGACTCTGTCTCAAAAAAGGGCAGTGCCTGTGGCTCAGTGGAGTAGGGTGCTGGCCCCATATGCCAGAGGTGGTGGGTTCAAACCCAGCCTGGGCCAAAAACTGCAAAAAAAAAAAAAAAAAAAAAAGGAAGAGCGCATGCAAGGCAATTATTAGAAATCTGACCCTTGGCTTGGCGCCTGTGGCTCAAGTGGCTAGGGCGCCAGCCACGTACGCCCAGGGTGGCGGGTTTAAATCCAGCCTGGGCCCGCCAAGCAACAATGATGGCTGCAACCGAAAAATGGCCGGGCGTTGTGGCGGGCGCCTGTGGTCCTAGCTACTTGGGAGGCAGAGGCAGGAGACTCGCTTGAGCCCAGGCGTTGGAGGTTGCTGTGAGCTGAAATGCCATGGCACTCTACCCAGGGGGACAGCTTGAGGCTCCTGTCTCAAAAAAACAAACAAAAAACCCAAAACAAACAAAAAAAGAAATCTGACCCTTGCCCACTAGGTTTATTTTTATTTTATTTAGTAATAACATACGTAAGTATATAAAACATGTTTTATGATATAAATGACAAAATATATACATATAACATTATTTAGGTTGGGCACAGTGGCTTATGCCTGTAATCCTAGCATTTTGGGAGGCAGAGAGGATTGCTTGAGCCCAGGAGTTCAAGACCAGCCTGGGCAAAGTTGCAAGACCCTATCTCTACAAAAAATTTAGCCAGGTATAGTGGTGTGCGCCTGTAATCTGGCTACTTGGGAGGCTGATGCAGGAGTATCACTTGAACCTAGGAATTTGAGGCTCCATTAAGCTATGAGCATGTCACTATACTCCAGCCTGGGTGACAGATGACAGGGCAAGACATATCTCTAAAAAAAAATAATACAAGTATGTATATACAGTAGAACCTCTGTGTAACAAAGTGGTCAACAAATGGAGGTGGTCAATATAAGGAACTAGACCTACTGTACTGATACATACATGTGATGCATGTCTGGTCTATGAAAATTAGGTCAACTTGAGGAGGTGGTCAATATAGAGAGGTAGTCAACTCTAGAGGGTCTACTGTAATATGTGATGTATATATGACAAATACAATATGTATGAAACATTTGTATGTAAATATTATTTATACAAATAAATAGACCATACATGTAAATATTAATATAATGATATAATAGATTAATGCACTATAATAATTATGCTTATAAATCAGTAGTACTACTTATATACAATTACCTTAATTTGCTTTTTTTTTTGGAAACAAAGGCTTACTATGTTGCCCTTGGTAGAGTGCTATGGCGTCACAGCTCACCGCCTCAAACTCTTGGGCTTAAGTGATTCTCTTGCCTCAGTCTCCCAAGTAGCTGGGACTACAGGTGCCTGCCACAACACCTAGCTATTTTTTTGTTGCAGTTGTCATTGTTGTTTAACAGGCCCAGGCCAGGTTTGAACCCACCAGCCCTGGTGTGTGTGGCTGGCACCCTAACCACTGGGCTACAGGCACCAAGCTGTAATTTCTTTCTTTTTTTTAGACAAAGTCTCACTTTGTTGCCCTCGGTAGAATGCTATGCTATCACAGCTCACAGCAACCTCAAACTCTTGGGCTCAAGGGATCTCCTTGCCTCAGCCTCCTGAGTAGCTGGGGCTACAGGCACCCACCACAACTCCTGGCTATGTTTAGAGATGGGGTCTTGCTCTGGTTCATGGTAGTCTCGAACTCATGAGCTCAGGCAATGTGCCTGCCTTGGCCTCTGAGTGCTAGCATTACAGGCATCCAACCTTACTTTAATTTCTTTATATTTAATTAATATAAGTACTTAATACAATACATTTGTAACATATATGTACAAATATATAAATATATACCAAATTACACATGAAATATATAACATTATTTATACTAACTAAATACACTTACATATTTGTAAAGAAATATTATTTATATGGTATATCTTCAGTTGTATACATAATTCACGTTCCTGAACTTTATGTAGTACAAAATAGTATACACTACATACTATGTAAATACGAAATGTGTGAAAAGTATAGACATAATGTTATTTATATGGTGGATCTCCTGTTTTTTATATATATATGTATGATCAGAGTCCGACATTTGAAAATGCTGGTATCATAAGAGATTTCCTATACAATTGTTAATAAAATGATATTATTAGTTAAAGTAAGATGCTCAGCGTGTGGTAAGAGCCGTGTAAATGATAGGCTGCTGTAATTATCATTTATTATCACTGATAGGCTATTGAATGTTTTCTGTGTCAGGTGTCCCCTCTGTGCTTTAGTTGCATCGTTCTGTTTAATGTTTGTCTTAGTCCCAGGAGTAGGTATTTTGAAGCAACTGCCTGTGTTTGTGGGGTGGGTACACTATGATATGTCCTGTGCATGTAGGAAATTGAGTAATTCTCCACTGTTCAGGTGTTTTCTTTGCTTCTGGGACCCTTACATTTATTTATAAAATATTCTTTTGGTTTTCTGACCCTGGAAGAGGGTAGGGCACATGGCCCCTCGATCCCCTGCAGCTCAAGGGGGGGGCATTTCTACTCTTCTTCCTGCAGAAAGATTTACTCCTCAGTGAAATTCCAAGCAACACTGCCTCGCTCTGCTCCAAGAAGACTGGTGTGGAGAAGGTGATGGCACAGGAGATCTGCCAGAAATACCTGGAAAGGAGAGTAGGGGGGCTACCAGAGGACTGCGCCGAGGCTTTGACTGTGGCCGCCTGCCTCTGCCTGCGGAGGCGCAATGCCAGCCTGGAGGAGGTAAGCCTCACTCTCAGCCGGGCCTTGCTGCCCAGGGGCCACCAGAGCCCGGCCCTTTACCAAGACATGATTTTGTAAACCAGAGCTGTGTTTGGTTACAGGCAGTAGGACATACTGGAGCTCATGCTGGCAAAGGGGGCGGTATATGGGTAACAGGGAACCGAGTGCGTGTGTTGCTGGGCCTGGGGCAGCACAGCACCAGCCCCTCAGATGTTAACAGAATTCTGACTGCGGCTCGGCGCCTGTGGCTCCAGTGGCTAAGGCACCAGCCACATACACCTAAGGTGGCGGGTTTGAATCCA